AATGTTTTTTTATTGTTGTAATGTGAAGATTAAATTTAACATGAAAGACTGCTAATTTTCAACACTTTTTTTAAGATGACTGAAAGAAGGAAAAACCAAAGTGAAGTATGGACGTACTTCACTCAGTCCTTTAGCTCCTGGATCTTCACAAACTGCGTAGGCTCAATCACATCCAGAATCTCCTCCAACTCTCCAAGGAACATGACCTACACACACATCAATGCAGACAATCAGAGAAGCGGATATAGAACATCAGTGAATGCATCCTAAGGCGTCATCAACACTGCCCTGAAATCATGACTGATCAACCTCATGCTGTGAATTAGCTCTGTTCAGGAGACCGTATCTATCTCACCTCTTTCTGACTGCAGGTTTTAGGCCAGAATTTCAGCAGACCTCTGATAACCTGTTAAGAGGGAGAAAAAAACAGGACTCTGATGAAATAAATGGACAAAAAAAAAAGTGATGATTAGTGAAAAACTGCACTTACTGGTTCTGTTAATGCAGGGTCTTTCTCTAGGAACTGTACAATACAATATGCCAGCTGCAAAAACAACAGTAAAGTCACTGACAGGATTAACACTGCAGGAAGTGAACACACACAGGACTCATCTGAATGTTTTCACACAAACGGGCAGTACCTGTGCATGGAAAAGTGAGAGGCTCCTGACGGTGTGAAGAGGAATCAAAACTTTCACCAGAAACTGTTTGTGCTCGGCCTTTAGTGGCAGAGCGAAGCCATTGATGATGCTGACAGGAGACAAACACAACTTTCACGAACAGCATTCTGGGATTGCTAAACCCTGAATTCATTGCTACAATCAGAACAATGCAAAACTCATCAGGGGGCTTCCTGGTAATATAATCATATTTCATGGAAACTATGGTACAAGCTCCAGTTCTGAGGTTTTAGAAGCAAGCACGACAAAAGCTGCAGCGGATGATCTTCAGTGAATTTAATTGCAGTCTACCGCTCACAAAATGCTTTCATCTGGCCAAGATCTGTAATATTGTATGGATATTGATACTATTTTTATGACGCTTTACAGCTCCCGTAGACTATATGCTTTTCTGTATGGAAACTAATGCTTGTCACACAAAAACAAGGTGAATAAAAACTATATTTTCAGAAGAAACTTCTCTTTAAGAATGGTTAGATGATCAAGAATAACTCATATCTTATGTAAAAGAAAATCCCAACGGTTAACTGCAATTATGTAATTATGTTAAGTGACTGAAATAATTTAAATAGCAAACTGTATGAATGGCATGACTTTTTGTCTCAAGCGCAAACCCTGCCCTGAAGCCATTTCTAAAGATTTCATTGGTCATGTCAATGACAGTGCTAATTGTCTACACAACTGAGGAAAAATAAAAACATTAAAACACTAACCCATAATTAGTGGAACATTCTAATAGATATAGTTGCTGTTTTTCCCGTTAAGCTCCATCCATGTTTTTTTACCTCGTAACCAATAAAATCAGCTGCGAGGTGGAATTTGACTTGTTTGGGGAATATATATATATTTATTTATTTATTTAAGTGCCGTCAAACGATTAAACGCATCCAAAATAAAGGTTTTTGTTTGCATAATATATGCGTGTGTACTGTGTATATTTATTATGTATATATAAATACACACACACACACACATGTATATATTTCAGAAAAATATGTTATGAAATATATGTATATACAATATAAATTATATGAATATATATATATATATATATATACACACACACATGTAAATATTTTCAAAATATAAACTGTATGTGTGTATTTATATATACATAATAAATATACACACGCATATATTATGTAAACAACAACTTTTATTTTGGATGCGATTAATCGCGAT